TTAAATGACCGTTTACTTGCGCCTATTTTAAGTACTCGCTAGCAAATCGCTATCCCCATTTATAAAGAAGCGATCAGTTAAACGCAAGTCCGATAGTTATCCGAATCAGTGGGAGTAAATTGAATGAGCTAATTAGTAATCTGTTCCTTAAGAGCAAGCAACCAGTCGCTTGAGGGGGTACATAAATGCGGCCTCCGATATTGGCTTATTATATTAGTTTTCTGAGGGCGTTTCCGAATTTGGGATCTTTTGGACAGTCTAACTAACTAGTTGGCAAAAAGGCACGGCCAAACCAGGCTCGGATTACGCATGTGCTTATGTATGCAAACGGCCAGTCCTAGATCGTCCGTAGAAGCGGTTCATTGGGCAGCTCACAAACAGACTAAGGCTGCTGGGGGCATGCCCAAGACTAGTTTTGGGCGGGCTAACTAAGATGTGAAGTGTACGGTCGTTCGGGTTTAAGGACAACATGCACAGCGCTACCAGCGTCTAGTTAACATGGTCTGACAACGCCGAGAAATGATCACCTTGGTGCTGCGACCCCCCGAGCTTCGTGAAGAGCGTTTTTATATGCATTCTCAGTAGAATCAGACTTCGAACACTCGGCTCATCGCATTTGTTTGAGAAATTGCCAGGGAATGAGTATGTGAAACTCCCCTGGATTATCCTCCTACAGTGTCTTTTTAATGCATTAGAAAGAGTACGCCACGCAAGTACCATTTTTTTCTCTTGTTGCATCCAAGAGCACTACGTTTCATCGCCTAAAAAGTCTCTATTGCCAACATCCCTCTGGTACTGGCGGTCTTGTAACATAGTTCAGGAGGAGGAGTAGGAGGAGGAAAAAGAAGAAGAAGAGTAGATATGTCCGTGTCCGACTGAGATACCTGTCATTAAGGAGATCTGAAAACCCTCTATCCCCTTTTGATTTAGCCCACGGTCGGAATCCCCTTTCGAGAAGTGGCCGATGTGCATTCTACGGTATAACAAAACTACTACTGAGAGTTGAACGTCCGTGGAGCCTAATGCGGAAGATCCAACCTCCTGCGAATTGAAATCGGAATGGACTATCAAGCCCTTGAAATTTCTGCCCCTCACCTCGCCCTCCTTAAGCAGTCCTGACGCTTTACTCCGCTGCCTGCACAAGGTTAGTGTTGAACATTTATACGATTTGACCATTCTTTGCCGCTTACAGGCTTATCTCTCTCTCTCAACTTCAGAACGCCAGTCAATTCTTGCATCAAGTCGCTCTGACTTGTCCTAATTCTCGAAGCAAATTCAGCCATCGCCCTGACCCATTCATATATTTGTGTTGACAGGACAGGCATTACTCGATTATTCCACCTGTACGACGTCCGCATGCCTGTGAGGGAAGAATACGTTGAGTGTAGCGGCCAAACTACCAAGACAATAAAACTCGGGAAAGGCACAATGGCGTCAGGTCCGCGAAAAGGGCAAAAAGGTCGAGTTCTGTTTGTGCGACCTAATCCCTGGAAAAAATACCAAAGTCGCTTTTCTGTGAAGCCGAACGAGTCTGCTGCAGTGTCCGAAACCCTATCCATGACGGTTTGGTAGAATGAGGGACAACTTTTCTTCCGACAAAAGACCCGGTAATGGTATGCTTTATACCCAAGGTAGGCCTAATAGTATGCAAGACTGTCTGCTTCATTTACTTAAGTAGGTGTTTTTCGGTTACTGTTTTCCCGTGTTATACCTCCCCTTGTCCCTCGTTTTGCATTTTTTGTAAATTCCTGACAGTTATTGTATCTCCTGGTGTAGCTCTCAGTATGCGTTATTTGCGCTTTCGGTTAACGCCCGCGGCCAATTCCCATTGGCTGCTAATTCCCTTGAAACCTGAGCTTCAGTTACTCAGTTGACGGCAGTCTATTCATTTGCCTGAATTTCCCTGACTACCGTTTTTGGCTAGTTTTTCGAATTTGTGCGCTTACTTACCGTTTACCTTCTAAGTGCATTAAAAGGCTTTCAATGTTATTTACTTATTCTCTTGTTTTTATCTCCTCGATTTACTTTTGTGTGTGTCCGAAAGCCCACCCGTATAACTCCCATTACCACCATTCCCGTTAGACAGGGTCCTCGGGTTATTTGTTGCTGATCCCGGGTACAAACCATACCCTTGCCGAGTGTCCTTTATGTGCCAGCTTTTTCATGAGGAAATGATCAGACCAGTAGTAGGAAAAAATATACTGCAGACAGTTGCCCATAGGACTTGTTAGTTTGGCACAGGAATACGGACTCTCTTCCGTAATAGAGGCGGCCTTGTCCTAAATGCTAAGGGGTTAGGCCTGGTGTTAGGGTTGTACTTAGTGATATGATTTCGGGAATCAGTGTTAGGAGTAAAGCTATGACTGGGAAGGTTAAGGTTATGAGAGTTTGGGTTATGGTTAAAGTTGGGATGCGGAGTCTGCAATACGGAGGTTCACATTCCCGCGCTCGATAGAGATGTGAAGCAATGCTACTCTTTCCCATTGCTCCACCGAATGACCCCTAAGTTGGAGAAATGGGGCAAAGTTCTAAATAACCCATGGGGAGATACGTATCTCGAAAACGCCTTCCTCGAAAGCAATGAAAATGGAATAATGATTTATTAAAGCAAACACTCTGACCGGTTCTCGAGTCCACTCCCCCCCCCCCGTTGATACTAACAGAAACAAAAAAGCAATTTGAGCTTCGTAATTAATTACTCAGCTGCGCCTTGTACCACGACAAATGGCCACGTGAACAGTAGTGCTGTTCATCAGTGAGGGAGGCTGAGTTATGTGCTTCGGCCTGTACAGAATTCGGTAGGCGGCTGCAAGTCAGCGACCTACCACCCGATTTCTAGTCCAATAGCCCACTTTTTGGACGCTCAACTCTTCTTCCTCGTCACTAAGAGACCTTGACTCCTTTTGAGCAGCTGAGAAGAGTACGACAGACAATACTGCAAAGAAGTGAAGAAGCCGAAGTCTACATACAAAGTCGATGCAGCTGTTTAAGGGAGATGGAAGAAAATGGGCCTCATGTGGGTAAAAAACGGGCGGGTGCGGGCAAGCACACTGGTGGATAATGGCACAGTCATCATGGAGGTTTAATTCGATTATCGGTATGGAGGCTTCCCGCATATAACATTGCAACGAGGACATAGAAACCCAACAGCATGACAGTCTTCAACGAAGGATTCCCAAAAACTCACCATGGAGAGAGATGGTGGCCATGCACACTATGCCTCTCGACAAACTACCAACTTGGTCAATGTAATAATAGCATTCGTCACTCATACAATAGGCGGTCACACGCACCAAATGATGACCCAAAATCGAAAATATGGTTTTGTTGGGAGGGATTACTTGGGTAAGTTTGTAGTACTGATTATCATGCGACATCGTCCAATGCTGCTTGATCTATGCAAGTATGCACGCTTCTGAATGCATGTCATTTCACACACTCGGAAAAAGTTACGCTTGACGAAAAATTACAACTTGCATGCATTCTTTTCCATAGCCACTGATGCCTCCATAAAGTTCATTGTATCTTATTGAAAGAACACACAAAAATCCCCTCTGGTACTGACCTTTAGGGAATGGCATTGCAATTAAATTGTGGGTCTGGAGAAAGGATATATCTCAGTTTCAGGCAGGTTTTCAACTAACGGAAACTTTAAATTGGTCAACTTTTCCCTAACGTAGAGTCACACCTGCAATTTTACCAATTCCGCCTTTAGATCACAGTCCACCCAACCCACGTCTAATGCACTGGATGGTTCCCTTTTAACGGCTTAAAGAGGCTGCATGTTTGCCTTAGATGGTAAGTATACCGTATGTAATCTGCAAGCCACAAGCGTAAATGGAATAGCAGATTTTGTTTTAAATGATGAAGGAATTGGAATTTTTAAAATCAAATGATATCCTGCCTCGACGCAAAATTTGACAGGAACATGGAACCTCCTGTATTGGAGGTGACCTTGCGTTACATTTCAGGGGGGTCAGTTTTAATGTTAGAATTAGCACAGACGAATAGCTATCCGACCCAAGGTTTCGCTCATAACCACCTGTTGTAAAAAGGCCCATATTCTCGTTCCCAACAAAAAATTTAAATACGACACGACTTCCTGCGAAAGACTGACGAGAATAAACGCTTTTTGTGCACAACTGACTCCCTTTGTAGGAAAATCTGAGTGAGTTCCGCCAGATGACACTGAAACATGACTAACGACCACCCTATAGAAACTTTTCTCGACTGGTGGTCGGGAACTAAGATCGGATTCCGGAAAATAATTAGATCTGACAAAATTACGGCTTCCTAAAAGGGCACCGGTCCGGTAATCTGCCGAATTGAGGCTCTTTGTTTGCTTATTTTAACGTACGCTGATCCTGCTTGATATTAACTTCCGAAGGACGTCACCAAGGCGACGACTTAATCTTCGATGAAGAAAGCATGAAACTTCGTAGAGATACCACTAAAGAATGCTTATTATATTCATTTTGACCGACAATTCCGTATATTTTCTGGCTTTCTTTGCTACCAGGGCTAAAGTATGCCGTTAAAACTTACATATTTGTCGTACTAATTTAATTCGTCTGAGGCTATTTCACTGTGGCTGGAATAATAATGCAAGATGAGTTTTTTTCGAGAGAACTTTCATTTTGCAGGGTTACCATGATCGAATGCACAGCGTGAGGATTTTGTAACTAAGGCACTCGCAAAAGGAATTACGTAGAAATATATGTTTCTTCCCTTGGTGCCTGCATAGAATGCACACTTTGTGTCAACGTATGATCTGCTCGGCAAATTTGAGGATTCATAAGAATGTGCGGCAGGATTTTGACAGTTAACAGCTGTATTAATCGTTTGATCGCAGGCCCTTACAAGAGGTAGCAAAGACCATGAAGTAGGCATTTCAAAATGTACCTGAAATATCACTGCCTTTCGAAGTTTTGAAAAGATATTCTGAGAAATGATCAAAAACGTAGCTCAGATAACAAGTTGGACAAGAGAAAAAAACTTCTTTAGCGGCGCGAATTCTTCTTTTTCCTGAGTTTTGGACCAGGTGCAAGCTTGCAGATTGTGTCGTAGGTATCTTGGTTAAGTAGATGGCTAACTCGAAGACCGATCTTTGGCAGCCGGTTGTCAATGCGTCCCAACACGCCTTCAAGAAGTATTCGGCCACCAACTTGACCAATTTCGTTGCCAAAAAGGTCGATCTCTTGGAGATCTTTAGAGTTCTTTATGATCCTAGCAAAAAAAGGATGTAAGGGCAAGTCAGATATTTATTTGGTTATAAAAGTAATTACGCACTTATCAAACAACAACTATTAAAATCGGAAAATACAGACCCAGTTGGCATTTAGTACACTTTTTTCCCGCTCGTGTGTACTTTCACCTTATTTAAAGATGTTGGCCCGGTGAATATTTTAAGGGTTGCAGTCGGTGATAAGCAGACAAAGTACTCATAAACTGCAGCTGAATTCTTCTTTATGGAAATCGTTGGGCTTTATATAACAAATATCCGCTCGATAAAGTTATCTGTACACTTTTGCTACCCAATAACCGACTTTTAAGCGCTTTGACTCGGTGTTTTATCGTTGGATCTAAGTGCCCAACACGTATCAGTCCGACCATCGAGTCAGTTTTCTTATTGCCCACAGCGAACTCACACAAACAAGATGATGACTAATAATGTAAATCTAAACTCTGAACTGAACAGCCGGATGTCAGTGGTGGACATCGTAAACTGGCTGAAATGTCTGGTCGAACTTTTTTAAATGTTTAAAACAAAAAGTTAATGAGTGATAGACAAATGTTTTTGTTGGTATTACTTGATTTTTGAGAGGCTTGCTTGAATAATGGAAAGTATGGCCGAAACTGGAGCAGATTCGGACACCAAGTTATTCACTTTATCAGCAGAATTTTTCTTAGTAAACGTTGCACGATAACTGCCCTTTGAGGAGAACTGAGAGAGTATAGTACATGTGCCACACAAGTAAGCTGTACACAAAGTCAGAAACTGTGTTCAGAAAGGTCATGGTGAGCCGCTTTTATCATTCAGTTTCTAACTCATCATATTTGTCACTGTAAACTGCAACCTAGTTCTTATTACTTTTTAATTTACAGCATAGCTAACGTCATGTTTTTTCGACTGTACTATAAATAACTTTACACAACATCTACGACTGGCGCAATTTAAAAATAAAAAATGTAAGTTCTTAGTTTCTGTTTAGTTATATTGGTAGTGTCGAAAAAAACTTAAAAGTGCTTACTCTTTGATGAGCTGCATGCAACGAACTGGAGCAAAGTTGCCTCCACGACCCATGTGGTTGATACCATTCTCGGCAAGATGCAAATGGCTTATCTGCGGACCAGAAGGAGGCATCTTCCTTTTCTTTTTGCTGCCTTTTTTATCGCCCGTGCCTACCCCACAATCATAAAATAAACAAATCAAATATATGTTGCTACTGCGAACGTGTTAGTAGAAAGATATAATCGAGTTAACAAGCCGCTCGTCACGAGAAATGAACATAGCCGCAGAGACGGGCAGGCTGGAACAACCCTATCCTGGTTACTGACAGTCGTCAACTCTTTCTAATCTAACGACACACATGTAACATTTTAATCTGACGCGGTAGCCTCAAGGTAAACCGGTCCATCCTGTCCCGTAATTCCTCACTCTCGCGCAACTAGTATAGGAAGATGTCTGAATGGCAAGTCCAAACGATACATGGTCACATACGAAAGTGCGGCTTATCACATGCTCACGAAAGCCTCTGCAGAAAATTCGTAAAAGCTGCCAGCTGGACTAAAGGATAAATTTGGGAAGATGTCCACGCCGTTTGCAACCCTTCGGAGTTTCTTAGCAATTAATAGTAAACTGGTGCGGCAGGTAAAATCTGTTTGTCCACCAAAACAACGAACAAAGTAAATTTAGTCCCGAAGAAGGGAAGTTTTAAAGCATTATCGTAGTAAAGACCGCAATCAAGATTGGAAAGCATTTGGATGGCATGTGAAACAAAGAAATTTAGAACAGAAACGAAAATGAAATTTTGCAACGCCGTATAATAGCAAAAACAAAACATCATTTCTGGTGACGGAAGTTCAAACGCCTACAATAGGAAAGAAAAGGTGAGTTTGACTTCGTTGCCTCGGATTCCAAACGAGGAAATGAGCTCGATTATGTCAATTACCTTGTAGGAATGAAAGGACTTGTAAAATTCCCAAGATAATTTATAAAGGCGTAAAGCTGCAGGAGTGGAGGGTGGGGGCGCGGAAGAGAGCTCAAAGAACAAGACAGCTCAGAGCTTTGCAGAGAGTGGCTGTGAACTTTTACTTGTGCAGCTCCATTGGCAAGTCCATAATCCTTCCTTTCAAGGCCATGCAACAAGCTGCAACGTCTGTTCGCCGTTCAGTCACTTAAATCACCCTATTAGGTCTATTCCTCCTCCTTCTACCTGTGCTTTTTCAGCAGTGACTCAATTGATTCGGATGAGGAATAATGTTCGTGAAGAACGCTTCTAAAAGACCCGCGACATGTGCTGTTTCATTTTCGGACGGTTTTTGCAAAGGACCATGTCTGTCGAGCTCATGACTGTTACTGGAGTGGAAGAGTAGTGTTGTACCATTCTCATGGCTCGTATATGTCTTCAGATTGAAATAAAAGCAAGAGACTATCGGGCTGCAAGTCGAGCTATCAGTAAGACGCAGGTCGTTGAATCGCACAAAAGCAAAGATCTCTTGTCGACATTCTCGTCAGAATCATCAGAAGCCCTAAAAACTCCCTCAGTGATACAATCTGTATCTCATATGTGTTATGGCAGACTTCAAATAATTTATTTTGACCCTATTGAGAAAAAAATCGGTGTCTCGGTGGGATTCAAACCCATGACAGCAAGGGGAAGGCTTTAGTACAGCTAACGCTCTAGCCTCCTGAGCTGCTAGGCCCCATAGGATGACGCGGGTTTAATTACATTTGGGTCAAGTTTATCTGCCTAACCTACGGCAACGTCTGGATCCGCAAAATCTGATACAGTACGCTGATTGTATCTTCTAGAGTGACTCGATTACGTTTTTTTCTGAATTTTCACCATCGATTTTACCGAATTCCCCAACATCTTCACCAGCCATTCCCCGAAAATTTTACACAAAAGATGAAGTGTCCATCTCTAATTTCTCCCCTTCGGCTATTCCCGGAATGTTCAGCTTCTGGAAAAAGTCTAAATTATAGCACCCTCTGCAATGCCACACCGCGCCGTGGAGATTAGCTATATTTTCAAACTTTACCACAGCAATGTCCCATCTAAACGTTTTACCCATTTTTATCGCTCTTTTTTTATTTGGGAGGTCGGAAGGTGAAAAATACGTCCTTTGAGTATGGACCCTCGCGGAGCCTATTTGCAACGACGATGACACTTCAATCAGCAGACCATCTCCCGTGTATAATAACGGAGAAATAACGTGTCCAATCTCCATCTTTTCTAATCTGCCACTAGAATATCCAGGGACGCCGTCAATCGAAAGCAACACATGACGCGCAGGTCCCCGCGTACTTTGACATCTCGATATTTCTTTAAACCATTTTGCACGGTATCGCATGTGCATGCATACACGTTTCAGTTGAATATGGACCACTGGACACAATTTTTCTCCTACAGAAGTCATCTCAGCTGATCTTCTAAGCATCCTGGGGGCATTCTCGAGGAGTCCATGGCATATCACGGACAAATAATGTCACTCGAATTACTAACTTCCGTCTTACTGCAGGTATTCTGTATGTCTTCGTCCGGCCATACTAGAACATAATGGGGCATAATTCTATAGAACACATAGGTCTCTTCTGTATTTTAGACGTTCCATTTGCTTATGCAGAGATGATTTCATATAACTTCTGCAATGTCACTTATAATCAGGTTCAATTTTCGAAGCTCACTTCCTTCCCTAAATAACTTCATGGTTTTAAACCTCTGCGGCTTTGGTGACTTTGAAGTTCTCTTCAGAGATACCCCAATTAAGTGTAATTTCTCTGACCATTTCAATAGATAAGGGACCGGGAACTTCCATTTTCTTCCATCGCAAAGCTAGATCCACTTTTCCGTTTAATCATCCATATAAGAAATAGGAGAACATTAATTCTAACTGCTGAATTTCTGACCTCTTCGGGGATAATACAAGTTATTTGGACAACACTTTCCCTATTCGTAGCGAGCCCTTAGATATTATTTTGGCGCTCAGTGGTCCATACCCTGGATGGATTTGGTTTCTTGGACTTCTGAGAAATCTCCAACTTTTGAAAATCCTTCAGACGCTCCTCTGCGTCCTTATCCTAAGGCTGTTTAACTAAGCACAGCCTCACTCAATAAAGCAGTGACTTGTGAAATGATTGCATGTTGGAGATGATGATTGAGAAAAGGCGTATTCTGCATACAAGGCAAGTTATGGGAAGTAAGGGATCCCTTAGCAGAGCAGCAGGACAAGTGTCGGTAGGTCAGAGTGCGAAGCGCAAAAGTTTTAATGCATAGACATAAAGCAACCGAAATTAAGCAGGACAGTTAGACAAAACAAACATGAAGTGTCTACAACGATCGCTTCTCAACTCTCTGAACTGAGGTCATTTGTAGATAATGCACCAGACTGTCTACAGCAGATAACCCAACCTTCTACGGTGAAACATCAAATCGAAATAGTCGTGTCGGACTAAAACCCACTTAAATAAGTATAGCAGATATTCTTAGTGTGTCACAGGTGCTCGGGGTCCTTCGGCCGTAAGAGAGGCACCTTTGGTTGGTCGTGTGTGTGTGTGTGTGTGTTTGGGGCCCTTCACCCGATCCTTACCCAGGATGTGTGTGTGTGTGCCCCTAAAACGGGCCGCGCGGTATATGCGCTGGACCAACACATAGGCTAGATCGGAGTCCGGCAGGCGTTATTAGGAATGCATACCTATAACGAATGCCAACATTGGGGGAAACAGCTGGGAAGATGAAGATGCTGGAGCGCCTCGTGCGAAAGTATGCCTTCCACCTCTGGCACCCATCTCGCGCTAGGAATCATGCGATCACGGCTCCTGAGCACCATAACATGAGCAAATTCAGGCCCGATGATCGCCCAACTACAGGCACCCGCAAACTCCACCGTCACTCAATCGACTGACCAAGCTGACACTGACTGACTCTCATGTGACGTTCATTCACTCACGGCCACACTACCCTAACGAACAGGCGCGCGCGCGTCGGGACCTCTGACGACCACTGAGCCTCAGTACAGAATACATTATTTCTAATGGTCTTTCCCCTTCTCTCACAAGGCGGGACTGGTTCGTGATTATTGCGACGCTGTGTTCACTCACTACTTTAGACGCCACACAGCGATCGCTGGAACAGGAACGTTTAGTCGCCTAACGCTCCGGATGCCCACTGTGGGAATCCGGAACGGCGGGCGAACATAAGTGTTGTTCCCACGATCACACTTCCTTTTTTTCCATTTCGTTCACTGTAGAGTCGGGCTGTGGGTTGGCTTAACTGGCCGGCCATGGGGCAGCGCGGTGCTAACAGAATTTGTTCGGCCACTCTTCAGCCTGACGGCTGAAGAGTGGCCGAATAACATTCAGACTGGGATAAGTAAGTATTAACGGGCTTGGTTCAAGTTGTGCGTTTACTACACTTTGAGGCTAGTAGAAGACAGTTTTATATGGAGGAACGAGATGGTCGCCTACTAAGTAGGACAATTTTTGTAATACACTCGGATGTCAATAAGTCCACATAGAAGTTCAAACCAGACGGTCTTCGACTTACCTTTGGACTTCTTTCTTGACGCCGTTCTTGGCTTACGCGAACTTGAATCATCAGTATCAAAACCCGACGAGGTTAGGAAGGCAGAGTCGTCGTCCTTACCCTTTTTGGCATTCGTGTTGGTGCCGAATTCACTTTCACTGCCCAAGACAAAAGCTGATTGGTTCTCAGCTGCCGTAACTTGTGCATTTGGAGTTGGCTGTCCGTTGTCGGGAGCAGATGATGGAGTTGTAGCCTCTCCTCCGCCATCCAGGTCGTACCTCTTCCTTGTGGCTGCGGAACGGTTTGATGTAAATATCATGTAATTTCTTTTCGTTGAGACCCTATTTAAGTTTCCCTCAAATCCAAGATGTGTGTCTAACTTCAGCATGGCCCCCGCTGGTTCGAATATCACTAAATTGAGACCTCGTGCGCCAAGTACAAAAACCCGCACCTCATGCATACATTTGAAGGACCCTATTGGGCTGCAAAAATGAGTTCGTGATGGCTTTAGAGATGTATACGGTTTATGACAACTGGGCTCTTCGAAGCCGTCATCTAATAAAACAAATTCGAGTGGATAGTTTTTTTTTATCAAAGTACACAAGCAACTGGTAGCAAACGCATACAGGAATTAACACATAGGCCCGGCCGCTGGCTGAACAGCCAGCCTCTCTGGTTCGCATATCCTGATGTACACGAGAGCCACAATAATGGTTACGGTGACTGGACATAAAGATCGTGCAAACCCTGACGCGTGCGGGTGAGCGAGTAGGGGAGAACCTGAAGCCTGATCATACTAGACAACGGGTATTCGTCAAAGGCTAGCGCACCAAATTAGTAAAGAATCGTACAATCCACAAAACGTCCGAGGTTTTCATTCGCAAGGGCGGTTCAGTCTTACCGTTCTTTGCTGCCTCCGCTTGCTCGAGTTTAAGTTGTGCCGCTCGTTCTCTCTCAATGCCCTCATTGACTGCGGCCTCTGAGATCTGCGTTAAGAGGGCGATCGCACCCTCTGCCTCGAGGTGGTTTCCATCGAGGAATAACTCCCTGTCATCGGAAGAAAAAAGAATGGATTACCCTGGTGATCACAGTCCACTGACCAGTATGAACAAGAAGGAGCTCATTCAAGCTAACTTATGCATTGCTAAGAAGTAGACGATAGGAAGGGTGGTTCTATCCGCGGCGTCGAGTGTAATAAGTATGTTTCCGAAAAGTCGTTGCAGAATTGATGGAGGAAGGACTATGATCGTCGTAATCGCGCATCCAAACCACTTGTGAAATCACCAGTGGTTTTCCGAAATCTGAAATGCTAGACTAAGGATCTGCAAGAAAAGTACATCCGGTAAATTGGAATGGACCCCCGTATCAAATAAAGGGAATAAGGAAACAAGCTTGAGAAAAGTCTGCCTGTGTGGGTTATTAAAATATACGCGTCAGTGTTTTCCATCGTGTATGAATTTATTGGTCATTTAGAAGGAGCGTAGTCAAACTCGGAAGCGGTTAGACAAAGATAAGTACATCGCTGTTATTTTTTTATCAAAAATTCGAACCAAAGGTATACTTTAAGATGTCTCCGTCCGTTTAACGTGCCCAGTAAGAAGCCGCTTTGCGTGCCTTCTGGCAACTTGCTCACACTTTATTCCAACTAGGCTTTTCCTCCAAACTTCCTGCGAGTCTCGCGTAAAAGATAGCTTTATGCTAGACCTACTATCAGGGATTAGGGTTGAGCCTATGGTTAGGATCGGAGCTGGGTTGATATATAGGCTAGGGCTAAGATTGCGGATAGCTTTGGGGTTAAGGTTGTAGTTGCAGTAAGATTTACGGACAAAAACTGACTTGATTGTCATGATTAGAAATAAGGTTAAAATTTAAGACTAAGGTTATGGTTAAGAGTGAGTCATTATCATTGGCGGCAGGATTAGGAGATAAATGCCATTCGCTTGGGATATGGCTAGGGCTAGATTCGCTTCCAGCAAAACCGCAATCATAACCTTGATATTCTCGACAACCTCATCCTTGGTCGCTTAATCCTAGCCCAAACCCCTGGGCTACAGTTAACGCCAACCCCAGCCGTTGGTCTATCATAATGTCAACCGTAACGCTCCCCCCTACGATGCTATAAATCCCAACAGGTGACAAAGGAACCGTCGTAGACATTTGTCAAACAGTACGTAAGGCTCTATAAACTTGTGACACGAACCCTCAATTTCAAAATCACAAGTTAACGTCTAATTCTACTCCATTGCCCTATATTGCGTCACTATATTCACCATAATCACCGCAATCAGCAACTCGAGTCTCATGTTGGGAGGAAAGACGTGGACACCAAAATGAGTGAATTATTCTGTAAAAGTCACCCAACCGTGATAGTGATCAACAGTCGCCGCCAGGGCATGTGCTGACAGCGTCAACTTGGGCCCAGAAGAGCGTGTCTGTCCTGGTAGTTGACTGCGTATACAGCTCTGGGAGAGCAAAACCAGAGTCCAGTTGCATGACCGGACCTTGTGTTTAAGCGGCCCGGCAGGAGAGATAAGAGAGCGGTAGCTAAGGCAGTAGTCGTACCTTAACCATCACAATCATTAAGTCAAGTCTCTTACAGCAGGAAAAAGTGAAAAACTAGAAAGGCGGCACGGAAAATCAATGAAACGAACCCAAACTATTCAAGTAGTTACTTGATATCGGACGTAGTCTTTTGTCGGATGGTTTTGAAAGATGTTTATCCTTACCCGCAATACTCAGTGATTACCGCAACCTCAAAAATAACAACGGTCTAAATTTTCAAAAAGTCCAAAATCTACTTAAGTGAATACATCGATATAATGAGGCCAATCAGCCCGAATGGGAGCACTATCAAAAGGGGTTGTTATGACGGAAAAAGGATACAAATTTGGTGGAAAAGAAGCCATTGCGGCTACTTTGGGGAGTCAAGCAGAAGTTAGTTAGTATGCAGTACGTGCGTTTGGACAGATTGCGGTTGCAAATTATGCAACTTTCATTGCAGTTGAGTTTTCCTGTGCCTTCAAACAACCGCTTTCAATTCCAAAACTAAGCTCTGTTCGGAGATGCATGTCTGTAGTACTGCCCAAAGTATTTTGTTATTTTCGGTGAAAAGCTTCTCTGACTCACCTGATCGAGGTCTCAGCAATCAAATTTCCCAGCCATATTCCGCTCTGTTTGTGCAAATCACAGAAACAAAGGCTAAGGCGAATAAGCCAGTGGCAGTTAGCCAGGCCTTCACACAACACGTTACAGCCACTGTCACCAAACCTGAAAAGGCGTGTAATCTGCTTTTTAATACTGTCTACTCATTAAAGTCCAAAATCAAGTCTGACAGAGTCCGCGTATGGTTGACACTTGGGGCAAATACATCCAGCGCCTTCTGATTGATAAAACAGTCCACCAGTTCAATCAGCTCAAGGTCATAGCAACCCTTGAGAAGCATACTTGCCTGAAAGAGTCTCACTTGTTTCACTGGCATGCGAGATTACCAGACACATCATGTCGCTATGGTCTACGTAAACATCCCACACAAATAACTCTTTGATTTGGCAATAACGATGATTTCGAAGGGTGTCAATGAAGGGTAGGAGCCTGACTAGTGGCTTTTCAGGTTTCGAAGCTTTCTTTTTCTTCTTTTTCTTTTTTGAGGCGAGACCCTCTTCGCCGCCCTCCTCAAAGTACTTTGTAAATTTTTTGTCATTCCAGTATTCAACTTTCCGGCGGTCCTTGGGATCCATCACAAACTGTACAGAACATTCCAGATAATAAAGTTAAGATGCTAGAGTCCACCAACATACACTCAATATGGGCTTCTCTTCGTCGATTCCAGATCGAAAAGCGTCACGAATGGTCGTACATGGGGAGCATTCAAACTGAATGCACTTGGCGTCATATTCCTTCAGGCAGGCCCTTAGTAGCTTTACTAGTGGCGATTCTGGCTAGAATAAGATGAGTAATGTGAAATAATTTTTTGCTTCACCTTGGCTCCAGGCTTCGGGGATTTGCCCTTCTTCTGGCCCTTTCCCTCGGCCATTATCAATGCCCTCGTGCTCTAAAAATAAAGATTTCAACAGGCATGTTACCCTAAACTAATAACCCAACATCTTCTAGTTCGCAGTTTACAGTTTCGGGTAAACACTCCTTAAGCTAGAGCTCTATGCTGTCTACAGAGTGCGCATTTAGCCTCCCTAATACAGGTTCTGCGAACTGATAATGTATGAGCAAGTTATATGCAAGACACGATTCATCTGCTGAAGTCGCCACCATTACTGATAAGATAGTGGTTAGATTGCTAGCTCCCTAGGTCTGACTGGCATTCCAATCTTCATACGGGATTGCTTGCGTAGGAAGCGAGACGGTAGAAGAAAATGTCGTAAGATTCTATCCTAAACCAAATGATCGTTCATTCTATATCTGGCCGACTAAGGCATGTATTATTGGTAATTTCTGCATGACAAACGGCAGCGTAAGTGGTCGTTAAAGTGCACTTATAGGTGCTATTACCACCTCATGAGTAGCGTTAGTCGTGAACCATCCTTTCGGCAGTTTGCATTCCGTCTCTTAAAAATCCAACATATGAGCATTTATTTAGTAGGCAAATCGTCATGGAACCTGTATCGAGTCCAATGTTTGTTATTTTGCAAATCTTTTCGAAATTGTTTAAACCCATATCTAGAAAAACAATATTACCGCTTGATCCTTTTAAAGTGTATAAACCCGGCTTATCCTAATCGGTTATAGACAAATCCGACTAAAAAGTGTCGCGCAAAAATGAGATTTGCATTTTTCCGGTTAAAAAGTATACACTGCAAATAAACAAGACGAGTAGCCTTTAGCATTCTCAAAATTGGTGGGGATACCAAGCACAGAATTTTTGATCGTATCTCAGTATGCGCATGGCATTTAAAGTTGGTGCGTAAAAGATACATTATTTTCTTGCCCTTTAATTAAAGGGTATCCAGAAGCTGACTTTAAAATGATTTGTGTCTAGTGCCTCATTCTAAAATTTCAATCCGCAGAAATATGGTCGCCGTAGACTTGTTTGTTTCTGGGGGCTAAGGTGATGGTTTTCTAATCAAGTGGAGTTCTGTTGATTACGAAGTCATGTAAGAGTTGAACGACAAGTCTTGTGTCATGCACTGGCATTAAGTTACACCGTCAAACAAAAAAAACAAAACTAAGGTTTTTTCATTCTTCTCAAGCCGTTATTGGTTATTATCAATCACAACCATTCATGGTACTTTCAGTAGCAGTTCGGATTCACAAGAATTCTATTGCATTTTCTATTAGACAGTGAGGCATTTCCCTTAAATTAACTTCCGGGAAGACGGGTTGCCAGTTAGCCTAGCTGCTGGCTGCCCGGCGCATCCACAGGTGGCGGATAGTGGGACGACCTTCAGTGAAGGTTAGCTGCGAAATAAGCAGACTCAGGTCTGATGAATAAGCAGTTGCGGACCAGCAGCGACATTGCTACCAGGGTGCGGTGGGCTGAGGTCTGGCACGCTGAAAGCCTTATAAAATGCCGCAAAACCCAATGACGGCATTGCGACACGGCGACCGTAAACCGCCATTAAATATGTTTACTTGCCACCGCTGCCTTGTGGTTAGGCTTTTAAGTCAAAGCGCTAGAGGAGACAACCTCAAACAAACGATCAGATCGGCTGTTGAGGGCCCGCCCGTATCCGAAATTTCCAAGAAACCTCACGAAATATATCCGATCACAGTATTACGACCCATGTTACGGCGTCCGTGGGAACCGACGCGCTCTGCAACCCCGGTCCAGTGGTGCTGGCGAATAGTATGCGACCTGGGCTACTCAATCGTGGACGGACTCTCGGTATTTGATGCTGGAATGTACGAACGTTCCTGGACTCCGGTACCCAAAGTCTGACCGCACGCAGTCTTTATCAGTACAACGTGGATGTCTGCTGTCTGTCTGAATTTCGACTCCTTGACTCTGTAGCGGCCGAGGACGTCAAGGGTAGCACACACCAAGATAAGGAAACGCTGAGAAGAATATCCTGGAGGAGAGAGATCTGAACAGAGTCGTTAACATCTCTGAATACTCATTCGCACACAGCAGAAGATGGTACGTCAGGAATGGGATACGGTATAGTATAACAAGACGGTCATGGGAGATACGTATAATAACAATAGTTACTCGTACAGGTGGAATGAGTTACAGCCATAAAATAACCTGTCTGGGTGGAGAGGCGATACCGACATGTCAGCTCATTAACCGGTGGGAAATGCAGCGCTGTGGGCAACTGCAGGGAAGGGCCGAGGGAGGTGCCGATGTAGCGAGGGGAGCGACACGAGCGTTACTTCACGATACGGAGCGGGGGAAGGGATCGGCGGAAGAGAGTGAAAGGGACACCGGTCATCATCACCAACATGCGGTTGCGCCATCTCCATCCTAGGTCCGCGTGCCAAAAGTGTCACGGCACTCAAACAATTCTGTTCAAGTCCAGGGGCGTTACAAATCAGGCTCCCGCAAAATAAAGATCCCTGCAGTCGAATCACACTTTACCCTGTACCACAACGGCCCGCGCGATTCTTCTGGTCGACACGGTGTGACGATCGCCTTATCGCAACAAGCGGACCTCGCGCTACTTGCTTGGGAACCAGTCAATGATCGGATGGCCTACGTGTGACGGAAGAACCACTTCACGAACATCTCTATCGTCTCTGTGTACGCACCAACTTCGGCTGCTCAACAGCGCGATAAAGAGGCCTTTTACAGGCAGTTGCAAGTGCTAGTTAAAAGACTGCCCCGCCGCGATCTGCTGATTGTTGCTGGTGATTGGAATGATCGAACTGGACCTGGCGACCCCACAACCAGTCATCTTCGTGGCCGCTTTGGGCTTGGCTCCCGATGCGAAAATGGTGAGAGATTGCTGAACTTTGCTGATCGAAACCGACTGCTTGTCACCAACACATGTTTCCAGCATCGCAAAAAATATCTGCTGATTTGGTATTCAAACGACGGTCATACGGCCAGTCATATTGACTACATACTAGTCAGTTCAAGGTTCCGCAGCTGGGTTCACTATAGCAGATTGATGCATGGTGCCGAGACTGGTAACGCCCATGGGTCGGACCATGTCCTCGTCCGTACACCCTTGAAAGTTCATCTCTCATCTGCGCCAAAAATGCCACGTCCTAGACGCTTCGATGTCACAAAATTCCAGCAAGCCAGCACTGCCGAGGCCCTAAGCAGAGAAATCCGGTCCTGTTTTACAATCCGAGCTGACGGGAATGACAGTAACCAGTGGTCGTCACTGAAGACAGTCTATGGGACAGCCGAGAAAATCCTTGGATACACCCAGCGACACCGCAGTGACTGGATCAGCGGAAGAACCCTGCAGTTGTCTGCTCAGACGGCTAGAGCCAGGTCCCGCAACGATGACTGCTTTCTCCAACTTCGGAAGATGAGGAAAAAGTCGTCCACGGATGATCGTAAGCAATATTGGGCTGAAACAGCGACCTCCATGGAACGGGTCTCGATCGTTGATGAAACTCGAAAGCTCTATCGTCTGATCCGCCGAGTTAGCGGTAGGCCCTCTACGCTGAGTGACCGTTCGCGACGTGAATAGCGGCTTTATTGCTGACAACTTGGCCAAAGTCGAGCGCTGGCGTGAGCACTTTGAGCACCATCTCAACTTCGATACCCAACCTACTCCGTCTTTGCTCTCCTCTTCAGCTGAGTTTCTTCCCTCTTCTACCTATGCAGTGCCATGCGATCCCCCGTCTGAAGTAGAAGTCGCCGATGCCATACGAAAGTTGTGCAACAATAAGGCACCCGGAGAAGACGGTATACCCGCTGAAATCTTCAAGTCTTGTGTCGACACTCTGGCGCCCTGGCTCCATGAGCTGATTGAACGAGCGTGGAGAAACGAAGTTTTTCCTGCTGACTGGGGCTTAGGCATCATTGTACCTATCCTCAAGAAGGGAGATAAGAGATGCGAGAACTACCGCGGCATAAGTCTCATCGACGTTGCTGTGGAGGTCTTCGCTATTTTCCAACTCAGGCGATTCCAGGCTGTGTGTGACTCAAGGACGAGGCCCAACCAAGTCGGATTTCGTGGTGGACGTGGATGCGCAGACCAGATATTCACACTGAGGCGCATTCTCGAATTTCGCCATAGCTACCAACAACCGACGGCCGTCTACTTCATTGACTTTGCCGCCGCGTTCGATTCCGTCCATCGTGAGTCCCTGTGGCGGATAATGGCGCTAGATGGTGTACCGGCAAAAATAATCGCCATGATCAAGGCCTACTATCGCTTCATTACTGCGAGATTTCTGGTCCGTAACAATCTTTCCCAGCCATTCGGTATTCGGTCTGGCGTCCGACAGGGTTGTATCCTGTCACCCATACTGTCCAACTACGCTATTGACTGAATCCTCGGGAGGGCCCTACTCGAGAGTGACGGCTTTGAGTTTGCCCCCGGACATCGACTGACTGATCTAGACTATGCCGATGCTATCGACTTACTTGCTTCAACTTTTGGTTATCTGCAGTCTATGGTATCACTGGTGAACGAGGTCGCTAAGTCGGTCGATTTATCCATAAACGCTGGGAAGACCAAAGTGTTCTCTGGCTGTATCCCTGACCAGGAGGAGGCACCCGTCGGGATTGATGACTGTCAACTTGAGGATGTAGACAGTTTTAAGTTCCTCGGGGCTAGGCTGCTGCTTAATGGATAGAGTAAAGAGGAAATTGTCTCCCGAATCGATGCTGCCCCCTGGGTTTTCTCGAGCCTTCGGAAATGCCTGTGGAACCGACTTCTCCATCGCCATTAAGATTCGCATATACTGTGCATCTGTCCGGTCTGTTCTTCCCTACGGTTGTGAATGCTGGGCTTTGCGCGTGGAGGACGAACGAAAACTGGAGGTATTTGACCACTACTTCTTGAGGACCACCCTTTGAATGTAGTTTACCGACTTTGTCTCAAATGAGACAGTCCGCGCTTACTGCGAAAACATCTCAAGGATAACTCAGGCCATCCAAGAAAGACGACTGAAGTGATTGGGCATGTTCTTCATCGTCCACTTCAGGAGCTCAGTGTTACTGTCCTTGATCCGACACCGTTACCCCATTGGAGGCGTCGAAGAGGGGATCAGTTCAAAACCTGGCTCGACACAGTTCGTCAAGACATGGAGGTGGTTCTTGGACCTTCAGTATTCGGCCTACGTCGTTGGCGAATAGAATGAATTGAGGTGTCCAGATCTGCTGTCGCGGATCGTCGTGCATGTAGAGGTACAGTTCGGGACATCATCGAGGCCGGCTAGATAAGGCATGATCTCAGCCGTATCAAGTACAAGTACAAGTTAAATTGACTTACCATAGTGTATTTTACGATGTTACATAAGACGGACTAAGGCGCACGCTACGTATTAGTAGTATGCTGCGGGTATTTTGGACTAGAAGAGCTAACAATATAGTTTTTTTCTTTTATGGGTAATAACAGTCCGTAGTTCAACTTTAAATATACCATGCTCCGCCAAAATATCCAAGTTGCGCGAGCATAGGATAGATAGGTTCTAAATATGTAGACTGTTTTCGTTTACATGAGCGTGATATCATCATATAACATAAGATATCATATGTACTAAGTAATGCAATATGGTTCATTGTGAGTTGACATGTATCGATTAATTGAGTTGCTTTTACGGATCATCATTCTAACGGAGTTTACCAAATTCAGCTTTCACTTTTAGAGTCGAAATAGTGCACGACTTAAATGTGAGTGCGAAAGTTATTATATAATAAACAACGCCTGATGAAACGCCAACCTAAAAATAATAATAATAACGGAGGAACGTAAGCAAGATCAGATGCCGTTAAGTTGGGTGTTAGATAAGAGGGAAACGTGTCCCTGGTGGCTTTAGGTCATATCGTCGACAACAACACACGCAGTTTCGTGCTTATCGTTACGTCCCCCAAAAATACCATTGTTTAGCACCCCAAACGAAGGTAATTTGATGAAAAGGCGTGCAGCAGTGTCTTTTTCATTGATTCGCCATAGCCAATGAGCCTAAGCGGTCCCATATGAGGACACTCATGGGCGACATTTGTATGGGAATCTTTAAGTGTTGTGTCGAACTATGCTTTAAGTGAGTATGTTGTTGTTGACCATTTAAATATGGGGGGAATTCCCTACGTTGCGCAAACGTTAAAAAGTCTGTTTTGATAAAAAGGATCTAAAAATTCTTGCCAAAAAACAGAAATCGTTATACCAAGAATGTGATTAGCTTTTCATAAAAGTCGTTATTTGAAAACAGACATTTAAAACGTTAGAGCACTGAAATCACATCAGTTAAAACTTATTTCGATAAATTACATAAAATAATACTCATAATTTCGATTTTATTTTAAGGATTTTCGATGCCTACATACCTTTTATTATGGGCAAGTCTCAGACCACGTCACAAGAGAAAATGATTAACAGCGCTCGACTCGTTCGTTCGTTTGCCAAAATCAAAAAAGCGGCAACCACGTGATTTAGGTAGTCATGTCGACGAGATCTCATGACCTCAATATCAGATTTAACAAACCTGAAGCCCAGTTTCCGAATAGTCGCAACGCCTATTCTTAAGGGGGCAGCAGTGTGTAAAAAAGAAAGACGAAGTTTGGAAGTTTAAACTCCAAAGTTTACGGCCATAGGGCTCAGTTTTAGACTGCTAAACTTATTTATGCGGCCGGAAATGGCGCGTTTGTCAACTTTGTCTCTAGACTTTTCCAGGTTAAACGTCACGAATAATAAGATAACTCTGAGTTCCAAAGAACCCTACCCCCTTTATATCCTCCTGTGAAGCAGACTTCACTTGTGTGTAGGTCGATTTCTGCTCAAAAATTATGCGACAGATGGTTTTATAAAGGGGATAAAAGACGATCAGAGAATATTTCCGACATTTTACTAGGAGAAAATGGCCACAGAGTTTACAGCAACACAAATTTTCGAACGGTCTGTTGAAGGCCCTCAAATCAATAGAATTCTTTACGTATGTACTTACCGTCCGCAGCAGTTCTGTGTTCCGAGTATTAAAGATGTTTGGGCAAACATTGCGCCTTCATTGGCTAAAGTTGATCCATCCGGGATAGTGAACGGGTTATGTCGAGACATTTTAACTTACTTCCTTTATCCAACTTCACCCTACTGTTGTCTATTCTGCTTTCGGTCGTATGCGATGCCCATCCCAATGATAACTTATCATACAACAGTTCAAAACAGACAAGAACTTACGAATAAATATGCCTTGAGAAGTTTCGCTCCCCAAACAGAAAAACAGAAAATGAAGATGACAATCAGTCAAGCAAGAGAAAGTGCGAAAGTAAACATTCGGAGGTAAGAATGGTAACAGGAAAAATTCATTCTGTTATTTTATTTTCAAGTGACACCCAAATATCGTAAATATGTGTCTCGAGATGCTATGTGCTATCGCCAACGGTCATCCCTAAAATACAAATTCTTTGGGCGGGTGCTGCAGAATCCAAAGATAGGATGTACCTCATCGAGTCGAATCCATTCTCACAGGGAATTCAGATTCTTCTTAAATGGTCGGCAGGTAGGAAAGGGGCGACCGATTCGGACGACAATTGTGTGACTGGCAACCGTAATTAAAGATTTACCTGTGAAACTTGCATACCTACTCACAGGTCGGACATTTACTGAAACCATCCTCAACATTTAGCTTGCACAACTACAATGGAAAAACAAATCATACGTCACACCAGTTTCCACTTTTCTAACTCACATGCCTCTCCAATGCGTTCGTGATGCACCCGGCGTGGTAAGTTTGCGTCTTTCTAGTCTTTTTCCTGGAGATGGATTACGATTGGGAGGACCATCTAGTCACCCGGATTCTGCAACTCACTGCACGCGTGCATACATACATACGTAGATATTTCGACAGTCTTGGCCAACGATGTCCTTTAAGTATTCTACAACAGGGTGAGAGCAGGGACGCTTACTTGTATGTCAGTTAGTTGAAGGTTGTAGTAAACTTGCACGGCATTAACCACACTATCTCCTCCTCCCAGACCTGCGTCCGATATCAAGACAGGATTAATAAAACAGGAGGCCAGGGAGGGTGCAGATGACTGGCACGGCGAAAACCTGCAATTAGTAGTACTACTACACCCCCTGGTCCGCAGCGTACATTGACCAGAAATTTACACAAGAAGAAAAGAGGGTGCGGCTCGGGTCCCAGGGATTGGGACTGTCATAGAGATCCATTCAGAGGGAGTCATTGCAGTTTTACTCTCAGTTCACCAGTCTGCCACTCCAAGCAAACACACAATTGGGCGACTGCAAAGTTCGCGTTATCCCGTCACTTGAAAACCTCCCAAGCCAAGACTTTTAGCGCACCATTATATCTTCAAGGGCGTGAGATTATTTACAATGGGGAAAATGCGCTGAGACGTCGACCCTACTCATTACTCCTATTCCCAGTGCCCAGCCATTGTCTGAGTCCGTCGGATTTCCGGCACGGGAAATAGGCGCTATAGCTGACAAAACTAGGCAGTTTGACGGCGCGTGTCACATGTACGGCCAGTCCCCCCCCCCGCCCCCAAACGCACACACCAGGATGACACAGAAATGTTGGGGCGAATGCCATGAAGAAGGAGCAAATTCAATTTCCCTTGCCCTTTTCTATAATGATAGTCTACTAGTTGCCATAGCAACCTGACTCTCAGAGCATCAGTCGGCTACTCAACTCGCAAGCACACAACTGGGCTGAGTGCGCGGTTTGAGCTGAAGCCGCCACTTGTAGCACATCGTGTTGGGCTCCACCGCGCCAAATTTTTTATAATGAGGAATTACGCATGGAGAGCCGACCTCACCCATCCCACTATAAACTATGCACCAATCGACTGTCCGGGTCAGTCAACCAGCTGATGCTGAAATTGAGAGACATGGCCGACAGAGCTGAGAACAGCTCGTCTGTGCGCGCCACGCAGGCGACCTAGCTCTGATAGGCACAGACCACGATTCCACAAAAGTGGTGAGCGAGCTGATCGATGGGGAGTTGACCGGACTGGCGATTGTAGGGTCGGTGGATGCGGAAGGTGTATTAGGTGTGCCAACGCTACGATTAATTCCGCTGTTATGGATACACATGCGACCGCATGTAGGTCCACACGGTGTGTGAATGTGCGTGTACAGTGTGGACAGTGAAGGTGGATACAGTGACTCTAGGTTGGCGCTCCTGAAACTGGTGCACCGGTCGCGGTTTGATGGATCCGAAAGTCACTGATCAGGCCGATGCGTAAGGTAAATGGGCGATCTAAATGAGAACAGGTTGGGATGGAGTCCACATCGCTGGAAGTTGGGTGGTAGTTGGCGGACCGTTCAGAGCGCTCTGTTCAGCGGTAAGATCGGGACTATGGTGATTGT